ATTCAATTAAGTCAGCCAACTAGCACACTTTTTTCATGTAAAACAAGCTTCCCATCATCATGATCCTACTCACGGCATCCATTTCATTTTCATAATCACAAATTTTCTATAATGTGACATATACTAGCTTATTATGCCTAATGGTTGAATTTTATTTGATATCTTAGGAATCATAAATTAATTTTGTTTATAGTATTAACAAAACAAAGATATCCACTTTTCAATACAAATTTTGTTTATAGTATTTCAAAATTAAATTTATGAATTATTTTGAATGTTGCATAATTGTTTAATCTACTACTTATTAATACAATTGTAAGTTGTTTTTAATTACTAACTTAAATTGTAGTCTTTATTTTGTAAAATCACTAAGAGTCTATTTGGTTGACGTTTTTGTTTTTGGTATTTTTTATTTTTGTTGCCTGTAGTAGTGAACAATGGAAAAAGGTGTTTGGTAATTTTTTTTTTTTTTTTTTTTTCACAGTACCAAAAAGTTTTGTGAGTAACGGCCAAAAATCATACACCAATTTGATGTCTTTATAAGTTTCAGCATTGTAGCAACGGTACTACACCAATGATAATTTTAAAAAAAAAGAAAAAAAAAAAAAACCATTATATTTTTCAAACTTGTAACATATTTTTCTAAATATATTTTTATATTTTTATTTCTAAAAATCTTACAACAAATAAAACATGCTTCTGGTTTCTATTTAAAATACTCTATAACAAAATACTTAATTTATTTTGAGTTAAAATAAAAACACAAAAATAACATGGCTTAAACACTATTTTGAGTGGCGCTTAATTTTTAATCCATTCAGCGCTGCTAAGGTTATCAAGCAGCCCAAGTTTTTATTTTCTTCATTGGGGTGTAAAGTACACCCAAACATATAATTAGTGTAGTGATATAGAAACCAAAGCTTTTACCAAAAAAAACACCAAAGCTGATGTGACTCTAGCCACATACGACCCTTTCATTACGCGTGAGATGCTAGCTCCTCACTTTCCCTTTCTCTCTCACCCTTTTCGTTTCTCTCTCGTCTCCCGATCTGGTATGCTTCATCAATTCTTCTCTTGAAATCTGGTGCTTAAGTAATCTTTATCCTTTAAAATGAACCCCAAGAGCTAAATTATTGTATAGGAGTGGGTCCAAAGCGTTTGGATGGAAAGTATACACATATCGAAAGTATTATAAAGAAAAGATCCAAAACTCATGTATGATTATACCTCCACCAAATATAAACACCTTCTTATTCTCACTTCTTGTTCAATACCTCTTAGTCTTCTCTTTTCTTTTTGACATCTAGAATCCTGATTCATATGTCTTTCAAGAAAAGATCTTTCCAATCTCAGATGAAAAATATGCGTAAGAGTTGCTATTATAAGAGACAGTAATATCTTACCGAATGAAAATAGACTTGCAAAAATAATAATAATAATAATAAATAAATAAAATACTGTTGGAGAGAAGAGAAATCGGTGAATCTCTATATACATTCAAGCATTAATTAGGTTTAGGAGGCCCCATGGGCCAGCCCAACAACTAGAAGACCAGACCTGCCCAAGCCCTTACCCGTCGAGCTTTGACTAATCAAAATGACGAGAAGGTTCAGTTACAACTTACAATAGATGTTAAAGTAGATTTGAAAATTTCAAGCTTAGCCCATCTAACAATTTTAAAGTGAAAGAGTTTGAACGAGATGAAAGCTCCCATCAGTTAGATAGAGTGTCTAACAGGAATGGATGTCTTGGGCTCCTTATTTATTCAAACTCTTCAATGTTAATGGGTTTAGTCCTGCCTAGGAGATGTCTCATTCTAATTGAAGTAGAACTCATTTTCATGTGATTATGCAAGTGAAGAAAATGAAATAGATCTCATGCACATGCACACTTGAAAGCAAAGAAATAAGATGAAGAAACCTTGGGCTTATTGCTAGTGCTTAAATCTGCACTAAAAGTTCAAACAAATCAGTAATATAAAAAACTAATATCGGTCAAACCCAAGTCAATCCTATATGTTCAATTCGATGAAAGTCTTACTAGGAACCATAATGATTTTAACACAAAAGAGTTTGGACGGTTGAGCTCTACATCCGTTAGATACTCACAACTTGGTGTAATGTAAAACACAGTTGAACGTACATGAAAGAAGTAGAACTCATTTTAATTTAAACATCATTATGTATTGCACTTGCATGTCTTAACCTACTACACTAACATATATTCGATCAGACTGCATTTTCTCTTCATTCTAAAAGATGTAAAACTCATTTTCATGTGATTATGCAAGTCAGACAAGAAGAAGATTAAATAGATCTCATGCACATGTAGGCTTGTTGTCAAGTAGGCTCAAACAAACCGATAATAAATATCAAATAAGATTCCTTTTTCAGTTTGATATTTGGTTCTTAATACAATTTTTTAGTAAATTTAAAATTATAATAACAAAATGTTATCAAAATTTAAAATTATTATAAGAAATGAACAACTACAAAAATTTTATAACTGATAAAAAAAAAAATCTTTATTTCTTTTTGGATTTTAACTCTCTTTTCAAACTCATCCATAACCCTATTAGAATGAACACATATGTTAAATTGGCATATCCATAGGAGGGAGGGAGGAATTCCCTATATGTAAATGATCATGACAACTTACCAAAAAAACCAAAAGAAAAAATTCTGATAAAAAAATTTCAAGAAATTGTTTTTGTAAACTTTCATGCATTTGCTTTAACTTCTGAAAAATATATACTATAATTTTTTTATTTTTTTATTTTGAAAGGTAAGTTTAAATATTTAAATGACCAAATATGTACGTCTTACAGATACTAATATGAAAATAATAATATTACACGTAGGCCTTAGGCCAATGAACCCAAAGCTTGCAGAAAGCCCAAACAACAAGAAACAATCCCAAATTAGTGCAACAAGGCCGAACCAGCTAACAAAACATCTAACCGCAATTAACGGCTGCTAATGAGCCTTTAATGGTGGGTATTAGTTACACTTCCGGTGACTAACCCTAGATTGAGATAATGATGCTTGTGGTGGTGGAGGAAAGCTTAGTCCGGAGGGGTGAGGGGAGGCCGACAGCAGGATGTCGATACATTCCAGTTGCTAAGGATCCTTCTTGTAGCAGCACAGTTCTTGAGGGAGCCCAATTTGAGGAGAGAAGTTACAGTGCTGGAAATTGTTGCTAGTACAACTCTTTGTGACGGCTTTTTCCCCGTGGTTTTACCTTTTTGATGCACGCTAGTATGCAAAAAAACAAAATCACTGCAAGGGAAGGTAGCTGATCCGAGCCATACAAGAAACAAAAAAGTGTACTAAAGCAATCACCAAAAGTGAAAGAAGCATTTGGATCACATCCTTTTCACAAAGAACGTTATGTCTGAGTTCAACTTGGAAATGAAAATCTTCTTTCATTTCTCAAGACATTTCTCAGCAGTGAAGTAGAAATATATTTTGAATGTTAGTCACACTCGGAACGATAATGATTTTAACACAACTCTCAACTAAACGTAATGGGGAACCCAATTGCGTGTGAAAATTCTGACTCTTCAGTTCATTTAAAATCTTTAACGTGAATATCATTACTCTATTAAGAATAAGAAAGAAAGAAAGCATTGCTGTTACAATTTCCCCCAACTAATACAAACTGTCCCATGCTCTAATTTGAAGACATTACTATTAGTCATTACACTATGCTACTTCACAGAATTTTCGTAGGGCAAACACATCTTTTTATCACATATTACAACAGAAACAAAGGCTGAAGTCATCAACAGACTAGAACCAAGTTTCATGAATCAGAAGTCATTAATTTACATGTCCTAAGAGCGATCCTCAATTAATTTCAACATATCCATTAGTCTGAAAGAATGGTCACATGTCCCAAGGGATTTAGTCTTGACCAATATATGGCTTAACAGTATGGTTACAGAAACAATAGAAGAAAAAGAGTTAAATATACCACTCCAAAAAAAAAAAAAAGTGATGCACCCTTAAAAGAAATTTTATCAAAGAACAATTTTCCATTCCGTTACATAATATGTAACTCTGAATCCACATATATGTATTTGCAAAATAGCATCTACACCTGTCTCAAGCTACTACACGCACATTCAGACTACATTTTCTCTTCATTCTACATTTTCTCAAGCTACTACACGCACATTCAGACTAAATCAAGCTTAAAGCTTGAAGGAGAAAGGAAAAAAAATGGAGAAGGAAGAGAAAAGAAAGAGACCAGATGAGGGAGAGAGAAATGAGAGGCCACAGAAATTTCTTTGCAAAACAGTATTTACACAAGTGGGAATGCATTTTGATTTTCGAGAGGCATACGAGTTTATATATTGCAGTTGTGTGTCTCAAGTCTCAACCTACGCACTAACATATATTCAGACTACATTTTCTCTTCATTCTAAATTCATTTTCATGTGATTATGCAAGTCAAACAATGCTCAGCAAGTGAATAAGATGAAATAGATCATGCACATGCACACTTGAAAGCAAAGAAATAAGATGAAGAAACCTTAGGCTTATTGCTAGTGCTCAAATTTACACTACAAGCTCAAACAAATTGGTAATATAAAAAACCAATATCAAACCCGATTCCTTTTTCATGCTTGATATTGGTACTGATTAATACAATTTTTCAGTACTTAATTTTTAATTTTATCAAAATAGCACACTATCTATTGGGGTTGCATAGAAAACCGATTGAGCATTACTCTAAGATTTCCTAATTTATTAACATTAAAATACCTACCCACAATATTTAGGAATATTTCTTAAAAAATTTAATATAATCAATGTTGAACTATACTTTTAAGCTAATTAAACAAAAACAGCCAAGTTGGCAAGCAAGCCTGCTTAAACACAAATGTGGTTAATTAGCTCGTGATCAAGCCAACACACACGCACACTGGATTTGTGGGGGCTATTTGCAGCCCTATTTTTTTTATAAAAAAAAAATGAATACACTAATTAATCCAATTGTCACAAAAATACATATATAAATTATAATTAAAGTGAAGTTAGAATAAGTAATAAATTCACTCAAAAAGTTTCATATAAAGTCACTTAAACAAAATAATAATAATCATCCGGACCATATAATTAAAAACACTTATCCCACATACTTCTATACTTTGTCGGCCTCTTCTTCCAGCAATTTTTTGGTGGCCGCCTCCTGTTCATGGTGATGACAGAGACCCTTTAACATTTTGATCCACTCTGGTGGAGTCTCAACAAATCGTTTGCAAGCCCCGATGGTAGCTACGAGACCCATAAGAAATAAAAAAAAATGCAGTAATACAATTGCGAATGAGAGAGCCGTCACTTTGTAGAATTTGTAAAATAGAAAACATCAGCAAAGGCAATGCGAACACAAAGGATACCACAAACAACACACAGGATACCACTTCTGTGCAAACCTCCATCATATCGTCGTTATTTTCTTCCTCTGCCGAGAGACCCTAGAAAGGATAATCCCCAAGCTCAAAAAAATTGGTAATATAAAAAACCAATATCAAACCCGATTCCTTTTTCATGCTTGATATTGGTACAGATTAATACAAATTTTCAATACTTAATTTTTAATTTTATCAAAATAGCACACTATCTATTGGGGTTGCACATAAAACCGATTGAGCATTACTCTAAGGTTTCCTAATTTATTAACATTAAAACTAACCACAATATTTAGGACTATTTCTTAACAAATTTACTATAATCAATGTGGAGCTATACTTCTAAGCTAATCAAATAAAAACAGCCAAGTTGGCAAGCAAGCTTGCTTAAACACAAATGTGGTAAATTAGCTCGTGATCAAGCCAACACAAACACACTGGATTTGTGCAGCCCTAATTTTTTAAAAAATAAAAAAAGAATACACTAATTTTTCCAATTGTCACAAAAATACATATATAAAACATCAGCAAAGGCACTCCTACCACAAAGTACACACAGTATAGCACTGTAACAAATGCCAATAACACACAGCATATCACTTTTGACCAATCCTCCATCATATCGTCGTTATCTCTTCCTCTCCCGAAAGACCCTAGAAAAGATAATCCCCAATCTATTTAGGGCTTCCGCTATAATATGTAGATATTATATTTGTATGTGGAATTTCCAATCCTATCCTCTAAAATTCAAAATATGGGAGAGTGGATTTTGGAGATCGACATGGAAGATGCATGAGCATTCATAGATTCATATATTAGTGTTTGAATATATATATATATATATATATATATATATATATATATAATAGAACTTTCTCAGTTTTCTCTGCAAAATCATTTAAGTCCAATGCAAGGTTCAATCAACAATCCTTGAAAAGAAATAATTAATATAAATTAAGCCAGAATGATTGCCTTGTAACATGCATGATTTCAAGCAATACACTATGTGGAATAACAAGTGGCCAGCTATAATTCCACTTTGATTATCCAATTTATCCAGCCTTTTTTGTTCTAAGCCTCTAAGGTAAGGGGTAAATCTTCTATTTCAAGCATCCCATAAATTTTCAAAATTCAATAATCAACCAAATGAAATTATATTCAAATTGATCAAAGAGGAGATAAAAGATTACATAAGCACGCGGAATCAAGTAAAAAAAAAAAAAAAAGATCAATTTCAGATTGGAATTATTGGATGAGTTACTTACTCACTTGTAATCTTTTTGGCGCTGCTCGTGATGAAACTGAAGCTAATCTCCAAACCCAAATCTTATCTTTCGACTTCGAGGAGCTACAGGAGCCCAAGAACACAATTCGTTTTTTCATTAAGCATAAAAAGGGTTAAGAAATTCGGTGGGTAAAAAGACAACCAAAGGGCCCATAAACCCAAACGTTTTATTTCTATTATGGGCTTTACTGTTCTCCCATTTTTCTCGATTATTTAATAAAATTATTATTTGTGGCTTTTAATAATAGAGAAAAATGGAGTACAATTAACGGAAGTTTTCAAATCAAATGCCCCACTTTTGGCACTATTTATACAAGGCCACCCTTTCAGGAAAAAAAAAAAAAAAAAAAAAAAAGGACGAACTAACAGTAAAGAGATTTAATCAGAAAAAGATTCTAGTTATAATAGAATCGAACACAAAGAATTGTACATCATTTTTCTCGATTATTTAATAAAATTATTATTTGTGGCTTTTATTTTCCTTCTTAGGTTTCATAATCAAAATTTGTGTATACAAACTAAAATAATTTTCATTAAATACTTTACATTAAATTTGTTTTGCTAACAATTATTATAATTGTTAACTCGAATTCAGTTTGGAATTCTAAAAAGTACTAAATTAATCACACTAAAAGGCACCAGATTATTATAACGGTTAACAATTTTGTATCTATATCTACACTTAATTGTTAACTTTTATTTAGTTTGGAATTTTTTTTTTTTTTTTTTTTTGCTTTAATTAAAAGTGTACTAAATTTTTTCTAACACAATTATGATTTCATTGGTTATTAATTGCATTTTTTTTATCCTTTTATTTTTAAAATTTTCTATTCTAAAATTGTAAGTCATTTTTTTTTTTTTTTTCTTAACATGTTTTATTTTTTTAATTCATTAAAACACACGTTCTTTGTGGTATTAAAACAATATTATTGGTTACACTTCGAGACCCCACTTCAAATCTTTCCCTTCAATTACTTTAAAAACCCTAATTCCACTCAAACACATGTCCTCTATGTTATTAAATGTGCCTACACACAAGGTGTAACGGGTGGGCGCTTGCCCATTTACCCAAAAGCTCGAACTGTTAGGTAAGGCTGCATACCCACCCATTTATACCCAATCTCTTTCCCATCCGATTCCGATGTGGGACAAAATGACCCTTGTTACATTCTCCCCCACCCAAACTCGCAACGCCCTCGTTGCGGTTGGGCCACCCTGCCTACCCGGGATGACTCACCCGGACGCCTTCCGGGCCGGACGCTTGGCGTGGCACCGGATCAAGGACTAGGTCTGACTCTGATACCAACTGTAACGGGTGGGCGCTTACCCATTTACCCAAAAGCTCGAACTGTTAGGTAAGGCTGCATACCCACCCATTTATACCCAATCTCTTTCCCATCCGATTCCGATGTGGGACAAAATGACCCTTGTTACACAAGGGCTTTAAGTTTAAACCCTCTGCTTTTTGCCGTTTCTCAAAAGTTTCATAACGCGTATTTAAGTACTTCAAAGGTTTCATCACGTTGGGTTCAACCTTCTTTGCCTGCCAATGGAGTTTCAAACCGTTAGAAGAAATCATGAGTTGCAAATATATGTTTCAAAATTCATCCACCAATACCTTCAAATACTCATATCAAGAAACCTTGGATTTTCAAATGGGTTTCATATTCAAATGGATTATTCTGCGAAGAATGAGACCAAGTAATTAGGAAAAAATGGGTACTTTGATTATTAGAAGAAAGAGAGACAAATTGTTGGAAGAAGCCCGGGATAGTGTGTCTGAACCTATGATCGATCTCGAAGATTGGTGCATCTGGTTAAGGTGAACTGGAATGGCTAAAATCAAAATGATGAGAAGCAAATCATAATAAGGTAATAGAATAGGTATTGCCAGGATTACAGACCAAAGTTGTTGAAACACAGGTTCCGTCTAGAGAGTTTTGGTTGGTGAGAATGATGATTTTCGAAATTGTACTCCTTCTTTTTCTTTTTCTTTTTTCTTCACAGTTTCCTTGATTTTAGTTTTTGACTCTTTTGGAGACTAGCAAATAGGAGTTCTGGTGGTGGTGGAAAAAAAAAAAGAAAAGCAAAATGTAAGAATTTTATTATTATTTATCTTGCCATAAGTGATTGTATATATTTATGTATATATCTATCTGGTTTATTGTTGTATATATCTATATATCATACCATTTTACTACAAGATCCTTCAATTAAGTTAGCCAACTAGCACACTTTTTCATGTAAAACAAGTTTCCCATCATCATGATCTGGCTCAAGGCATCCATTTCATTTTCATAATCACAAATTTTCTATAATGTGACATATAATAGCTTATTATGCCTAATGGTTGAATTTTGATATCTTAGGAATTATAAATTAATTTTGTTTATAGTATTAATAAAACAAAGATATCCACTTTGCAATACAAATTTTGTTTATAATATTTCAAAATTAAATTTATGAATTATTTTGAATGTTGCATAATTGTTTAATCTACTACCTCTTAGTACATTTCTAAGTTGTTTTTTAATAAGTAACTTAAATTGTCGTCTTTATTTTGTAAAATCACTAAGAGTCTGTTTGGTAAACATTTTTGTTTTTGGTGTTTTTATTTTTGTCGCCTGTAGTAGTGAACAATAGAAAAATGTGTTTGGTAATTTTTTTTTTTTTTTAGTTTTCACAGTACCAAAAAGTTTCGTGAGTAGTGGCCAAAAATCATACACCAATTTGATGCTTTTATAAGTTTTAGCACTGTAGCAATGGTACTACATGGATGATAATTTGAAAAAAAAAAAAAAAAAAAAAAAAAAAAAAAAAAAAAAAAAACTCGTTAAACCAACCATTATATTTTTCAAACTTGCAACATATTTTCTAAATATGTTTTTATATTTTTATTTCTAAAAATCTTACAACAAATAAAACGTGTTTTTAGTTACTATTTAAAACACTCTATAACAAAATACTTAATTTATTTTGAGTTAGAATAAAAACACAAAAATAACATGGCTTAAACACTATTTTGAGTGGCGCTTAATTTTTAATCCATTCAGCACTACTAAGGTTGTGTATATATAATTAGTGTAGTGATAGAGAAACCGAAGTCTTTACCAAAAGAAACACCAAAGCTAATGTAACTCTGGCCACGTGAGACTCTTCATTATGCGTGAGAGGCTAACTTCTCACTTTCCCTTTCTCTCTCATCCTCTTCGCTTCTCTCTCCTCTCCCTGTCTAGTTTGCTTCATCAATTCTTCTCTTGAAATCTGGTGCTTAAGTATTTATATCCTTTAAAATGAACCCCAAGAGATAAATTATTGTATAAGAGTGGATCCAAAGCATTTGGATGGAAGGTATACACATATCGAAACTATTATAAAGAAAAGACCCAAAACTCGTGTATGATTATACCTCCACCAAATATAAATACCTTCTTATTCTCACTTGTTGTTCTATACCTCCAAGTCTTCTCTTTTCTTTTTGGCATCTATGATTTCATCAATTCTTCTCTTGAAATCTGGTGCTTAAGTATTTATATCCTTTAAAATGAACCCCAAGAGATAAATTATTGTATAAGAGTGGATCCAAAGCATTTGGATGGAAGGTATACACATATCGAAACTATTATAAAGAAAAGACCCAAAACTCGTGTATGATTATACCTCCACCAAATATAAATACCTTCTTATTCTCACTTGTTGTTCTATACCTCCAAGTCTTCTCTTTTCTTTTTGGCATCTATGATGGAGAGAAGAGAAGCCTTCCAGCATTAATTAGGTTTAGTAGGCCCCATGGGCCAGCCCAACAACTAGAAGACCAAACCTACCAAAGCCCTTACTCACCGAGCTTTGACTAATCAAAATGATGAGAAGGTTCAGGTTACAACTTACGGTAGATGTTAAAGTAGATTTGAAAATTTCAAGCTTAGCCCATCTAACAATTTTAAAGTGAAAGAGTTTGAACAAGACAAAAGCTCCATCAGTAAGATAGTGTGTCTAACGGGAATGGATGTCTTCGGCTCTTTATTTATTCAAACTCTTCGACGTTAATGGGTTTAGTCTTGCCCAGGGGTTGTCTCATTCTAAATGAAGTAGAACTCATTTTCATGTGATTTGCAAGTGAAGAAGATGAAATAGATCTCATGCACATGCACACTGGAAAGCAAAGAAATAAGATGAAGAAACCTTGGGCTAATTGCTAGTGCTTAAATTTGCACTAAAAGCTCAAACAAATCGGTAATATAAAAAACTATATCGATCAAACCAAAGTCAATCTTATATGTTCAATTCGATGAAAGTCTTACTAGGAACCATAATGATTTTAACATAGAAGAGTTTGGACGGTTGAGCTCTACATCCATTAGATACTCACAACTTGGCATAATGTAAAACACAGTTGAACGTACATGAAAGAAATACAACTTGTTTTCATTTGAACATCATTATGTATTGCAGTTACATGTCTTAACCTACTACACTAATATATTCAATCAGACTACATTTTCTCTTCATTCTAAAAGAAGTAAAACTCATTTTCATGTGATTATGCAAGTCAGACAAGAAGAAGATTAAGAGCCTGTTTAGGGGAGCTTTTGGGGACTAGAAACGGGCTTCTAAGCCCAATAAGGCCTTTCTGAAAAAATGGCAGTGTTTGATGAAATAAAATAAAAGGAATTCTAACCAATGTCAAAGTCTTAGAAAGTCCGTTCAAGCGAAATATCAAAAACTAGCTTCTGGAATTCATCTCTCTGGAAGCTAGTGTAATTTTAAGTAACAAATTTTATGGATAAATTTGCCCCCTTTTATTTCGTAAAACTTGTTGATTTTGTGCTCTATAAACTATGAACAAGAACGAGAGTTGTTAGGAGTCCTTTACTCTGATTCAAATTCCAATGCTAAAATACTTTTCCTATTTAAACTAGTTCTCTGAGAATTCTTGATAGGTCACAATTCTTCAAATATTCTACTTTTATAATTTTTAAGTTAACTTTAAACTTTTAATTTCTAATTTTTAATTTTTAATTTCTATGTTTTGAAACCCTAACCTCTCTCTTCACGTATTTTTCTTTGTGAATTGGCGCACACTTGAGTGCATTCTCATCGTTTTTCTTGTCACATTGCCGACAACCTCTAGAGAAGTTTAAGAGTAAAAAGTAATTTCACAATGAAGAGATATTTGGTTTCTGAAGTATATAATTAGCATTCCATCTTCAATAATTGATGAGCACGACAAGTATGGAAGCATAAACATAAGCTTCATCATCTGCTATCTTTTTCTTTTCTTTTTTTCTTTCTTTCTTTTTTTTTCTTTTTATCATCTGCTATCTTCACTTCATCACTTTTATTA